CCGTTAACAATTTACTGACTCACTGTGACTCACACTGACTGAAGAAATGATCATGTTCCATGACTTTGTCGAATACACTGCAACTTTAAAAAAAAAAACATGTTTTCTGTAACTTGTCTACGAAGTTCCGTTCAGTTTCAGAGTAGTACAATTTGAGCATCTTGCAGATTATTTGTTTTACTGTGCATTACGTTCTGCATCCTGATTGGCAGTAGACTATTGTCAATCAATCTTGTGCCGTGTCTCCTGTACAGTACAGAATGTGTTCAGCTTCTCAAATTTATATAAATCTTCGATTGCTAGCAGTGTGATTCCATAGTGCTGCACTAGAAGTTTGTAAGTTTTCTCCCCAATAAATACAACAATGTTGATTAAACATTTTGCACCATCAAAGGCGACCGCGGGTGCCTTTTGTTTCATTCTGTAATACTGGACTTATTTTTCTACAAAGGTTTGAACTTTGATGGTTTTTAAACAAGAGAGAAAAGTGTGAAAATGTTCGTGCCTGTCTGCGAAAAGTGTATAAAGTGTGTAGTGAGGGGTTTTACGGCCTTACAGCATCTATAATAATACTAAAAAATAAAGTTGGCTCCTTAGAGGATTTCACCTATCGCGGGGTATTTTTAGGACTTAATTCCCGCGATAAACGAGGGACCACTGTAAACCTCACTAACCTAAGGGGTCAACACTTTAATTTGGGACATAGTCAACAAAACTTTCAATGATTTTTAAAATCAGATATCACTGATATTTCTGTACTTGCACACTTACGCACTGACGACCACTGAAATTAATTTAGACAATGCTTCAAAAGTAAGGCCAAAGTAAGATTATATTGCATGATCGCTGGTTGTTGGTTAGACGTGCTTCAGGAAAGACTTAATGTTCCTGTTTAGTGTTCAATCTGCTGTGGATTTTTGGTTGTAAGTTTAAAAAAACCCTTTCTCTTCAACTGCAAGGATAAATTTATGGGCATAAAGTGCTATAATAATGATGATGATGATAATGATACATGCTATTTCTATATAGCATCTTTCTAAACCACAGTTACAAGGTACTAAAATAGCAGCATGGAAACATTTCAGAATACATAAAAAGAGAGAAAAAAAAAGACAAAATGATGACAGAAATCATTAAGAAGACATAATAAAACATTATGAACAAGCCAGGTGCTGTTGTAAAAGCAGATAGTTGACGGAT